CTCTTCTTCTTCCTAGCTTGCCCTAGGTGTCCTTTACCAATGCCTCTCACAACCCCAATTCATTTAACTTCTCACAACACTCAAACGTTCAATCCCTATAATGCATCTAAAGCAGAATCAAAACAAACAAACAAAGATCAAGTTAATCAACTGGGTTGCCTCCCAGGTAGCGCTTGTTTAACGTCACAAGCCTGTCCCAAAATCCTCCAGCACCCTTCAGTAGATGCAAATATTTCTGACCAACACCCATCAGTAGGTGTATACCGTTTTCATCAACACTCATCAGTAAGTGTATGATAGCATAGTATCCTTCAGTAGATACTTATCCACCTAGCATCCGTCAGTAGATGCTATAGCCAAAAGTCTAAAAAAATAATTAAAAAATGTCCAAAGTTTATAAAATTACATCACCCATAAATAAAAATTAAAGAAATTAATGTTCTCAAATCGCTCGGATGCCTCCCAGCAGGCGCTCTTTTAACATCACTAGCTTGACCCAATAAAGCTCAAGTTCCATCTTCAATGTTGGTGCTCATCTTATTGTCATCACACCAACTCATCAGCTGCTTCCGGTCCACCTTCTTGACTCTCCTTAAATATGGAGATTCAATCTCTATCACTCCATTCTCTTTATAGTCTTTTCACAATCCACAACTTGTTCTTGAATCTTACAGGTTTACCAAGTTTGAGTTGTGCTTGAATCAAGTCATCATGAACCGTCCTTTCTTTGCCATCTTTTTCTTCTTCCCTAACCTGTGACAAGAAATTTTTTTTACCTTTGAAGCCCGGCTTTGCAGCTTTAAAGCTAGTCATGGGTACATCTTGACATGTAGCTTTACGACTAGCCTCTTCCTTTTGCATCTGCTGCTCCTCTTTGAAGACATTAAAGACCACCCTTTCTTCTTGGTCTTGAAGCACTGTCATCCCTTCATCTAGATTGATGATGACCTTGGCCGTTTTCATAAACGGTCTTCTAAGAATAATTGGAGTCAAATTCTCCTCCATCTCCATCACCACAAAGTCCAACAATAATTTTAGTTTGCCCACACAAACCATAACGTCTTCCACTACACCATAAGGCTTCTTTGAAGATCCATCCTCCATTAGCAAAGTCACCCTTGTTGGCTTGACTTCAAGATCACCAATTCACTCAAATAGAGATAAAGGCATCAAATTAACACTTGACCCTAAATCAAGTAGGGCTTTCCTTGTCTTCTCCTTCCCTATGATGCAAGGAATGGTAAAACTTCCTGGATCTTTCACTTTTGGAGGAAGTGGCTTCTTCTTAACAGCTTTGCACTCATCAATCTCCTCATCTAAAAATCTTTTCTTTGTGGAGACTGGCTTCATATGCTTGACAAAAGCTGGAATTTGTTGCAATGCTTCATTCAAAAGTAGATCAACCTCCAATTGATTGAAGATATCTTTAAAATGCCCAAATTGTCTCTCTTTCTCTATTCTCTCACAACCTTTTGGATAAGGAAGAATTTTTTCAAATATTTTAAAAATTTTCTCTCCTCTCTTTTCTTCTTTTTCTTTTCTCTCATCCTTTCCTTGTCTTTCTTCTTTTCTCTCTACTCTCTCTTCTTTTTCTTCTTTGCTCTCTAACTGAACTCTTTCAACATTCACACTCACTAAAACTTTACACTCTTCCTTAGGGTTAACCTCAGTATTAGCCCAAAAACTCTTATCAGGCATATCTTCCAACTTCGTAGCTATTTGGCCAACTTACATCTCCAAGTTTCTAATGGCCGCTTCAGTGCTCTTGTGGTTTGGAATAGTGATGACAAATTTATGAACACCGAAAAACGGCGCCAAAAACTTGTTTAACCTTTTGCAAGTGTGACCGAATCGTATCAAGTAATAAACTTAGTAAAGCCAAGTATCGTTCTCCCAAAGGACTCACAACCTAGTTAGTTATATGATTTGTTGATTATTTAAGACTTGTTAACGATTGATTGTTGGGTTTAAATGCAAAAGACAGTAATTAAACATGTATGCATGAATGTTGATCAACGGAAAAGAGGAAAACAAACACTTTAATGAATTAAATGGATGAGTATGTTGTTGGGGTAATCAATTTCATCTTATCCACTCTCATATACTTTAGGAATTCATCATTCTTTTCATCAATGTTAATGCCACTCTCTAAATCACCTTGCAAGAAAGCCTATCCTTAATTACGAGTTCATACAATTCCTAGCATCCCTAATAATTAATTCTGAAGCACAGAAGCTTAAAGGCAACCAACCCTCATATCCCTATGTCTAGGCCATATGCTATTGGGAGAATTTCCCCAAATCTAGATTTCCCCGTATGTTCCCATATCGACAAAATCAATAATCATGACATCGAATGAGTTAAACAATGCATGCTTTGAGCAAAGAGGAAAAACCCTAACTAATGATGAAAGAAAGCATGTATCATAAATATGATGTTTAAACACAAAATTCAATATATGAGAGCTTTAAAAGATTACATTGATTCCCCAACAACAATACAAAGTTTAGTTCGCTATATTCATGGTGAAATTAGATGAACAATAATGAAAGAATGGAAGACATAGAAAAACCCTAGAAAGAGAAGAGGAGAGCCGTCACCACCTCCCAATCTACCCCTAAGGGGTGAAAAGTGTGTTTCTGCTTCCTCCCAGCCAAAGATACAAACCCTAGGATGTCCTAAAGCTTATATACTATTCTAAAAAATATAGAAAATTAGGCCCAAGCCCATAAAATTAACAGAAAACCGGTCCAAGCCCATTTAGAATGGCGCTCAACGCTATTTTACCGCTGAGTGGTACTAGCGCATGATCCATTTTGCCCCCCATCTGTTGTTTTGCCCCTCAGCGGTGATTTCGACACCTGAAAACTGCCGCTCAGCGCCAAATTACCACTCAGCGCCACTCGGTCACACTTTTTCTCCATTCTAGTTGATTTCTCAGCATTCTGGTTGACTAGTTGACTTTTCTGGTTGATAGGTTGACTTTTCTAGTTTCTGGTTGACTTTTCAGCACTCCAATCATTCGGTACTTCAATTCGTCTTTCAAATCGTTCAATTAGCCTACAAAATCAAGGGAATCTTGCACAAAACCATTAAATTCACTTTCAACTCTCTTATTCACAAAACTAAAGAAAAAAATATGAGTTCAAGCTAGTTTCTAAGTCTTAAAGGTTGCTTTTGGTATCAATTTTAAGCATAAAAATAACGGTTTTTCAACTGTTATCACAACCCCAAACTTAAAACTTTGCTTGTCCTCAAGCAAACAAGATGTAACTCAATCTTCCATCAATCCATATAATGGTTCACCACATTCAAAACTCCCTTTTCAAGATAAGTAAGTACTCAATTAAGTTCATTGCAAAGATTTCAATCAAGGCATGCACATGCATTAATCCATGTTTTCTATCTTTTTGTGCTAACAATTGTTTATAGGAACTTGTTTTCCTGTGTATTGAGGATATAGTTCGAACTAGGAGCAAAATCACTTCGGAACCTCTTCTTGAAGGATTGGACGAAAGTAGAAGTAGGAGGAGAGTTCAAACATCTAGAGAATTATTCCCTCCTCTGGAAACACTTCTACAACCCTCACCACAAAGATCTAACCAAAGCACTGAAGATATGGCCGAAGAGAACAATGTTAGACGTACTCTGGTGGATTATACCACAGTTGTTGGCCCTCATCACTTTAATAGCAATGCTAGGCCAAGGGTCAATTCTGCAAACATGGAGGTGAAACCAACGTTGATACAATTGGTAAAGAGCAACCAATTTAATGGACTGTCACATGAAAGTTCATATGAGCATCTAACCATATTCAACGAGATTTGTAACACTGTGAAGATCAATTGTGTGCCGGATGACGCAATAAAGCTTAGCTTGTTTCCTTTCTCATTGGGAGGCAATCAAAGTTATGGTTGAATTCTTTTGCGGAGGATTACTGAATAGGAAGTTGTGGTTTCAAAGTTTCTTAACAAGTACTTCCCACAGTCCAAAGTCAACAAAGGGAAGCAAGAGACTTATTCTTTTAGAGAAGGCATGGAGGAGACACTAGGTCAAGCATGGGATAGGTATAAGAGCTTCTTGAGAAAGACGCCAACTCATGGCTTTGACGAAGCAACAATAGTCCTTCTTTTCCTTGGAGTTCTTGGTTCACAAACCAAGTTGATGCTAGATGCCTCAGTTGGAGGTAATACTAAATGCAAGACTCTAGAAGAAGCCACTGAATTGATTGACAACATGGCTACTAATGATAATGAGATGCATAATGAGAGAGGAGCTCCAATTCAACATAAGGGAGTTCTACAATTGCAATCAATTGATGCCTTGCTTACGCAGAACAAAATCATAACTCAATAGTTGGAGAATTTGATAAAAACACTTGCTCAGTTGCGAAATGAGATAAAGAACGCTGCACATGTTCAACAACTTTGTGAACTATGTGGTGGTGACCATATCAATGGTCAATGCACTTTTCCAATGGAGGCCTTAGAAGATTTCAATTTTATGGCCAGTCAATTTCAATACCACCAAGGGAACTACAACCAAGGGTGGAAACCTCACCCAAGCATGGGTCAAGGTCAGAATGGACAAGTTGGACAAGCAGGACAATTCAATAGACCATAGTAGCAACCATCAATATGACAACAAGTATCTGCATTGAATGAGAAATCATCAAAGCTTGAAGAAACTCTTCAATAATTTATTCAGGTGACTATTTCCAACCATAAAAGCACTGAAGCTACAATTAGAAATTTAGAGATACAAAAAAGGTGATCTTTAATGTCTTCAAATTGGAGCAACAGATTCAAGAGAAGGAGGCTAGTCATAAAGTTGCATGTAAGGATGCACCCTTGACTAGTTCTAAAGCTGCAAAATCGATCATCAAAGGTAAAAATTGTTTCTTGTCACATGTTAGGAAAGAAGAAAACGATGGCAAAGGAAGAAAGGTTCATGATGACTTGATGGAGGCACAATTCAAACTTGGCGCACCTGTAAGATTCAAGAACAAGTTATGGGTTGTGAAAGATTTCAAAAAGAATGGAGTGATTGAGATTGAGGCTCCATATTCAAGAAGAGTCAAAAAGGTGGAATGGAAGCAATTGATGAGTTGGTGTGATGAAAGAAAGATGAACACCAACATTGAAGATGGAACTTGAGCTTTATTAGGTCAAGCTAATGACGTTAAAAGAGCGCTTATTGGGAGAAATCCCAGTGATTTGAGAACATTAATTTCTTTGATTTTGTTAGTTTGGTTATGTAATTTTATAAACTTTGGGACATTGATTTATGTTGTTTTAAGACTTTATGGTATATCATCTACTGATGGATGCAAGGTGATTGAGTATCTACTGACGTATACTATGGTATCAGACACTTACTGATGAGTGTTGATGAAAAGGGTATACACCTACTGATGGGTGTTGGTAAGAAAGATTTGCATCTACTGAAGGGTGCTGGAGGATTTTGGGTCAGGCTCGTGACGTTAAACAAACGCTACATGGGAGGCAACCCAATTGATTGACTTTATCTTTGTTTGTTTGTTTTGATTCTGTTTTAGTTGCTTTATAGGGATTGAATGTTTGAGTGATGTGAGAAACAAAATTCATTGGGGTAGAGAGAGGCATTGGTAAAGGACACATAGGGCGAGCTAGGAAGAAGAAGAGTTGGTGCCGCAAATGTTGCTCAGTGGTAACTAATGCCGAGAGCGACCGCTGCAGATTGGGTGGACTGTTTTGTTTTAATTGGGCTTAGCGGGATTTGGCCCATTAGGCCTCTTTTATACCCTAGGGTGCGTTTTGGCCACCACTTTCAGATTTCACTCTTCCCACACACTCTCAAACACTTTCCCAAGTGTTCTCTTCATTTTTCCCTTCTTCCCCCTTCACAAAAACTCTTTCACTCACTTTTGCATAAAATTTTCCATCCAAGTTTGGGGTTTGGTGAGAGCATTGCTGTTAGGGGCTGATTTTTGCACATTCCTAGAGAATTCTTCATTCATCTAGCATCTCCACCCAAGTAAGTATAAGCGTTTTACATTCTAGGGTTTTTGAAAGCATGAATTGGTATGAACATTGTTGTCTAAGCATGATTCTTGAGGGATTTTG